TGCAGGAAAAGCCAACAAGAGTCGACGATGAGAGATGCAGAGCAGGAAAGACAGAAGGCAGATAAGGAAAAATATCCGACACGATTGTACAAAGTGAACCGTAAGTCAACGGCCCTACAAAAACGATGATGCAACGGAAATGAGAAATGAGAAGAGCGGGAGAAGAGGAGGCAGTAGTGACGAATATGAACAAATAAACACGCGTAAATGATTGAAGAGACGGACATGCACAAGTAACCGTTCTTGAATCACACAAACATCAACGAAATCATATACCTCACTATACCTCTATCGAACTTGCATGAAGGGATCAATGCAGAGGAACAAGCAGCATCCGGCGTGCGACTAGCGGCAGTACGTCGGACGAAATCTAGTGACTGGTTAATCTCATAAATGCTCGAGAGTGAAATACACAAAAACACCACCACGACTACTCGCACGAATGAAACAGCCAAAAATAGGGCGCACTGGGACTACCCGTACTCTCGACAAGAATGCAGTGCCAAACCAGCCAAATCCGTAAGAAGCAGGTTGCGTAGATTCGGACCTATGCCTGACGAAGTGCAACAACGACGCAGAGCCAACATAGAGAATTCTCCAGCTCTAAATGAAGAATAGACTGCAAGAGCGAACAAGCTTGGCCAGTGATTTCCCGATACCGCAGAGGAGTCTATCGGGAGAGACCAGCATTCAGAAGAACGCGGAGCTCCCGTCGACGTGGAACAACTGGACCTACAGAATTGGAATGGACACAGGAAAGCAGAGGCAATCTATGACAGAACGTACGAGTACTGCAACCCAGATATGAAAGACAAGACAATGAACTCTTTGAAGAAAAAAGAGGCACCAATAGACCTCACTAGTCGTCGGCAGGCAACCCAAAGAGACCAATTCAACCTAACTTAATGAAAGAAGAGGACGGCTCAGTGCACACGAGCATATTCGGAAAGAATCGGAATGGTTAAAGGAAACACGCGCAATTCACTTGAACGAACTAAAACAATACGCTAAAAAAGAGGAAAGGAAAACAAAAGGTAAGTTTCGGCGCTGAAAGACAGATGAAAGATAAGGCAACAATCCAAACGAGAACGCCGAAGCACTAAAAACATCGGCAATTAAGACGACCGATCTGCATCAAGTAATAGCAACAGAAAGAAAAATCAGAAGAGCCAATACAGCACATTGAAAGCTGGTAGCTAATATAAAGTATACATACACATAATCTTCTTGTATCATATCACACAATATACTAATTCTATCTATCTTCTTCTTCTATCTTCTTCTTCATATCTTATTCTTACTTACTTCTTCCTCTCTTTCTTACTATCTATCATTCACTCTTCTTCTTCTCCTACATTAACTCCTCCTCTCCTGCCTCCTCTCCTACTCTCCTCATACCACCTCCTCCATATCTTCTTCTTCGTTCTTCTTCTATCTTCTTACTTATATATAAATATAACACTATAATTATTAGAGGGGTGCCCAATGCAGATATTCCTTAGAGGTGAATTACTGATGATTAAATGTTCGAACCACCCGACTCCGAACCCCCATACCGCCTGTACTGTGTGTACTGGCCACTGATCTCTACTATACTAACCATACAATACATCTATATACATCTACTATATATACCACTATATATATATCTATGTTAGTATAGCTATATAGTAGAGATCAGTGGTACTGGCACATTGTACGGCTGGTACACACTGCTGGTACATGTATTGGTATTGTATGCAGGCGGGCGCGGTAGGGGGGTTCGGAGTCGTGTGGTTCGAACATTTAATCATCTGTAATTCACTTCTAAGGAATATCTGCATTGGGCACCCCTCTAATAATTATAGTACTTCCATAAGCTACAACTGTGCCAAGTTTGAGACTTTTGTCACTCCTGTAACGATTTGGCTCATATTTTGCACTAATTAAGGGACCTGACTAAAGCCCGGCGCACGTACATTGCCGAACATTTTGCTCAAAAACATTATCGTAGCAATGTTCCATGAAATGTTCGGCAATGTGCGGTGAAAAAAGTTGCGAACATTTGTTCCGAACAATATTTCTGAAGATCGGAAATGTTTGATATCTCGAACATTGTTCGCCGAATGTTCGTCAATGTGCGATGAATGTCGAACAATTCTTAACCTGTATGATTCAGGCGGTTCCGGTTCCGCTTCACTACACTTCAGTAGATAGTGTAGTGAAGCGGAACATACCGCCTGTATCATACAGGTTAAACAATTCTAGGAACATTTGTAAAGTAGTAACCAATAGCAGCACGATATGTGGTCACATGATTTTTGTGCCCAATCATGCGCCGATCACGTGACTCTTTACAACACAGCTACATCATTACATCATTACGTCAATTAAATGATGCAATGATAATGCAATATTTTTGCCAACAAGGTAACAAAATAAAGTCAGGTGAGCTGAGAGTAAGTTACACTCAAAGGTCGTTGCACTGACGCCCTGACGCCTCGCACCTTGGCCTGTGTGTGAATTAGTCTGCGAAGCTTCCCGACCTCACTTGTGCGAAGATCTAGCATCTTTTCTAGTTTCTGGACTCTGTCCTGCAGAGAGAGGTCGGCCGTCCTGTCGCAGAGAAACTCCTCTTGCCACCCGCGCAGCCTTCTGCAAGAAATTAGATGGCCACCGCGCTTTTGAGTTATATTCTAGCTTTGTGTACGGATGGATTTTTGCTTCGGGAATACGGCCTGCTTTGTATGGTACAGTTCCTTGCTGAGGGAAATCTAGCAATCTCACGATACTGCATGCGACAGTGCGCATGAGCCGCAATCCAGTGATGGTCTCCCTACACGGCGAGTCGAGTAACCGCGTAGGCCTATAGTGATTGCGGAGCGTATACGTACAGTATTATTATTATTATTACTATTATCTTTATCATAATTATTATTATTATTATTATTATTAATCGATGACTCATATAATAATATTTGAACGACAGTTCATTGATAAACGCCGAGAACAGAAAGCTTGCAAGCTTTCAAAAAAAAAGCTAAAAGTGCTAAAAGTCCACGTTTCTTTTCAGTCCGCCATCTCTTCCTCCATCTTCGTCAGGGCGTCGGACTTCCATTTCTGCATGCGACTCCTTCAACCTCGCCAGCTCAGCTCCTCTCCTGCAGTTGTAAACTCGTACTGCTGCTGGCTTCCGTGGCATCCTGGCTGTCAGCAGTCCTGCGATCCAGCAATGCTCTGCAGGCCGATTCATATAATCTGCCTACTTCTTGCTTGGACGCCAAGCCATGCGTACACCCCGACGGAACAGCAGAATGTGCGGTTTTATCTTGAGAGTACGTGGAATTTTGAGTGCACGTATAGTTGCTTTAGGAGTACTCCTGCTTGATTATATCAAGAGCCAACAATATTATATATATGCTTATGACTTCACTGAGTCCGGCTAGTGCAGGCGCATGTAACAGCCAACATGCCTGTACTGACAGTGTGCACTCACATCATCTTTGAAGAAATACCGGCATTCAATATTTATAATCTGTATGTTATATCGCTCCGTATTCGTTCATTGCATCTGCAATACCTTTATTTCTAATTGTTTTTACTTACCGGTACGTAGTTCGTTAACCGTTCCCATGTCAGCGCTTCTTATAAGCTGCCTAACCGAACTATAAAACTACGCGTGCGTATGAGGTGTGATACCTTAAGAAGAAGTTTTCGCCGATCGCCTCCCCATGCTCCCTTCCTGCTTTCTCCTGCTGTACCGATCTACCTCCTCTATCATGGATATCTTCCCCCTCCACTGAAATCGTATTGAAACTGTGTTTTGTTTATGATCGCGCTCGCAAACTCAGAGAGTAGCGAAACACTTTAAACAACAAAATAGCTGCTGATGACCGCGACGTAATACGTTACATAAATGCAAAAAATAACCGCCCTTCTTCGTTTGAGAGTGGCGTATTATTGTCAGCGGCAACACTATCTTTACGGCATCATATAGTTGCAGGCCGCCTAGTGCTAATTTAGGGGCAACGCGCGTGTTTGCGATCAGCATGTTCTGTAAAGACATCAAGCGAATCAAGGGTCGGATAGCAGAAATAAAACTACATACAACTGCTCAGGCACAACGAGACGGGCATAAATTACTGCTACTAAGCAGCAAGTATCCGGAAGGAAGATTAATTAAATAACTTCATACAAATTCTCATGAGCCGACGCCTAACCTTCCATCTTTGTCTCAATTATACCAAAATGTAAGATAATGGGATATGCATGTTTGTATTTCTATGACTCCACATGCTGATACGATGGAAGTACGCGCTGTTGACTCTAGCTTCCGCAGAAAAGAGGACTGAGGATATGGCCCTAAAACAAGCACGGTAATATAAAGCCACTGCATCACCTGTGTCATATTCCAAGTGACGTATTTGCCTTTAAGGCTGGCTTCATTCGACTCTTTTGCGTTCTCTGGTTCGATTTGATTTTACTCTCAGTTTCAGACAGCTTCTTTCTTTAATTCGCTCCACCCATCGTTGAACCTTCTCGACCAGTGTGCCGAGCGTATAGAATTGTAAACGAGGTAGTGCTAATGCGAGATATCTTCCATGCAAATTTTGATAGGGAAAGAAATGACAGAAAGTTTAGGCGGCATGTGTCCCACTTCAATTCATTTAAGTTGCAGCCAATTCATATCCTAACAATGTTATCATTCTTAGAATCTTGTCAATTTCACCACGTGTGTATTTTGCCTGCCTTTCGTAAGTTTCCTAACAAAACAAACGTACTCTTTGCACGCCAATGTCTAATACTACTGCTGCTACTGTTACTGCTGCTGCGTTACTGCCGCTGCCTACTGCTACTCGCGGCTGCTGCTACTTATTACTACTACTAATAATAAGAAGAAGAAGAATAAAGAAGAAGAAGAAGAAGAGGAAGAAGAAGAAGAAGAAGAAGAAGAAGAAGAAGAAGAATAGTAATGTGTAGTAGAACAAGAAGATATGTGTATGATACTTATATGTACTTACAGCTTTCAATGGCTGTATGGCCTCTTCTGATTTCTTCTGTTCTATAATGAGCAGATCCGTCGTCAATGCCATGTTTTTTAGTGCTTCGGCGTTCTCTTTGATGTGCTTATCTTTCATCTGCTTCAGCGCCGCACTAATTTTGTTCCTTTCCTCTTTTACGATGTTTAGTTCGTCAAGAAACGCGCGTTTTTCCTTTAACCATTCGACTTTCGAAATGCTGTGTGCCTGCGCCGTCCTCTCTTCATAAGTAGGTGAAATGGTCTCTTGGGTTGCCCCGACGACAGTGAGGTCACTGTCCTCTTTTCTCAAAGAGCATGTCTTGCTTTCCATATCTGGGTGCAGTACTGCGTACGCTGCAAGATTGCCTCGCTTCTCTGTGTCCATTCCATCGAGCAGTTGTCCACGTTCGACGAGCTTCGCTTCTCGAATGCTGTCTCTCTCCGAATTAACCCTCTGCGCTACGAAATCACTGGCCAAGCTTGCGCTCTTCGCAGCATCTTCATTAAGCTCGAGAATCTCTATTGGCTTCTGCGTCGTTTGTTCACCGTCAGCATAGTCGTCGAACACGCCACCTGCTTCTTCCGATGGCGTTTTGGCACTGCATCTGTCAGAGTACGGAGTCCCAGCGCCCATGTGGCTGTTTATCGGCGAGTTAGTGGGTGTGTTTTGGTGTATTTTCACGTCTCGAGCAT